GCACAACTTCTCAGACTCTTTAATGTGCCAAGTGAATCTACAGAGGTAGGGTTTCCAAACCGCATGTGGCCTCAGAACATCTTCTTGGTGCTGAGGACTTTGCAAATGTGCAGCAGGACCAGGTGACTGCGTCTGGGCTCTGTGGCCAGGCGGTCTGGGTGCCACGCAATGCCCTGCCACATCTAAGCACCGGAACCCTGAGAAGTTACTTGGCTTCCCAGCACCCTAGACCCCTCGATCTATGAAATGGGGCTAGGGATAGAACTGGCCTTGTGGTGAAGAATAAATGATTTCAATATGGGGAAAGTCCTTCAAAGTGCCAAGCACATGGTGGGGGGGCACAGTAAAACCATTGTTACGAGTGTTCTGAGCACAGTGGTACCCACATGTGGCCCTCCTGCTGGCGTGTTAGTAGGTCTTGGCCCTGTGTGGTGAGAGGAGGTCCAGAATCTAAGCCAACCGTGCTCCCGGGGTGTAGAAGCCGTCAACACGTACATTAAGCTGATAGTTCCACACGGTCACTGAAACACCATCCCTCCTGCTCCCTGGGGGAAACATGCTTGCTCTCTTTTCCCCATGCTGTACCCTCTGGTCACTCCACTCTGTGGACATTCATAGGATGTTAAAAAATAAATAAAAGGATCACATGAATAAAGCCATTCTGCAAGGCAAGCATGCTGCATCACTGACAGAGTCTGCTCTAAATCAAGACAGCCTGTCCCGGCATGGACAGCAGGACCTGACAGTGGGGACCGCATTGTCCCTCTAATCCCGCACAGACGCCAGGACAATGGGCCGGGTGTTTTGTCCCCGGCATGAGCCAGGCACTTCTGTGCAGCAGACGACAGCTGCGGCGAGGCAGCCACGCATGCTGTCCACCCGGCACAGTCCCCGGACTCAAGTCTGGGTGTCACCACTGTCCAGCCCAACCTGCCCAGCAGCCTGTCTGGTTTTGTCTTGCTTTCTCCCATCCCCAGTCACAGACATATCTCAGGTTCTCAGCCTGGCAGCACAGACTAGAGACCCACAATCAAACCTCCTGACTTGTAACTCCTCTGGGCTCCGGCCTAGATCTGCTGCTTGTTAGCCATGGCTCTGGGGCAAGTCCAAGCCCCGCTCTGGGACTCAGTTTCCCCATCTGTTAAAGCACCTCTGCAGCAGGCAGGTGAGGGATGAATTGTCTGAAGTCAGCACTGGCAAGGCTGGACAAGGCCATGACCCCTGGTGTTGTTGATGGTGGGGACTCTGGCCCAAGCCATTTGCAGGACATTGGGGCAATGTGGCTCAACCACAGACCTAGCATCTCCTAAGGAAATAATGCACAATGTCGAAAACTGAGTGTCACGGTGTCGTCTAAAAGAGAAAGTTGGGAATAATAGCAGCAACTACTTCCATATCTTTACTGAGGTCCAGAGAAGGTAAGCAATGTGCCCAAGGCTGCACAGCAAGCACTGGAGCTGAAATCTGAACCCACACCATCTGGTTCAAAAAGCTCCACTCCAGACCACAGCACCACAATGCCCCTTTGTCCAACAAAATAAAATGAGATTCCTTTAAAGGTCTGATCCATGAACAAAGCACCACACTTTTTTAATGAAAACTTTTCAGACTACGTCAAAACGGAATACGACATAGCAAGTCAACCCACCTAACTCTTCCTTTTATAAATAAGGAAACTATAGCCCAGAAAGGGAGTGAGACTTGCCCACGGCCAGGCAGGGAGCATGAAGACCCATTTTTCTTGATTCTAGTGTCTCTATGTCAGCTTACATTGTCTACATTTCATGCAAAGTACAAGGATGTGGGTATATCATTTTTATGACAATAAAAACGAAGAGCTTATCAATAATCTTAAACTAATAGTCAATCCACTTATTCACATGGAAATCATGGCAAGAAGCAGTTGGGGAAATGCCACAGTCCACAAGACACAGAATCCAGAATAGCCCATCTGGAAGGTCCCTTAGAGAACATCTGTTCTGACTCCCTATTAAACAGAGAGGAAACTGGCATGTGTGCCAGGATTAGCACAATTTTAGTGACTGGAAAGACACCATTATGCCGTCATAATGGACCCTTTGTAACTTAAATGGCTGTATTTACAACTGTAGTATAAATGTGAGGTATTATAACAGCTTCAGATAATAAACCCTTTTAAATGCAGAAGTGAAAAATGCAAAAGGTAATGGTCAAAATGTCACACCATGCCTGCAGTGCAAGACGGTATCCCAGCTTCCACGCCAGAGTGGACATCTGGGCTTTTTCATCTACCAGCCTCCCTTTAACAACACCTGGGAACATGCCCGAGCTGCCAATCATGAAGCTCTGCCTCCCCAGAAGAACCACCATAGCCTGGACTGTTTCTGCTGTACAGAGGCCACCTAAGGCCAGACCCAGAGAAAGGAGAAAGGAGGGGAAGCTACTGCTGGAGCCCTGGATCCAGCCACACCTAAAGGCGGCAACCCCACACTTCCCAGTTTAGAAAGCCAGGCAATTCCCCTTTCTGCTTCAACGTCTTTGAGCTTGCAAACAAATGGATTATAACCGACAGTCCTAAGTGAAACTTCCCACCCAAGAATTCTATTTCCTCAAATCACCCTGGGCCACTGGCTCGCTCCGAGTGAGTTCTAGATCAAAAAGGAACTCTGCAGCCGCTCATGGGGATGGGGTTTCCTTTGAGGGTGATGGCAAAGTTCTACAACTAGAGAGGAATGATGGTTCCCCCAACACTGTGAATATGTTTTAACACCACTGAGTCACACGCTTTAAAATGGATAAAATGAGCAATTTTATGTTACTGCATTTTATCACAATTTTTAAAATGGAAAGAAAAAGAAGGAACCCTACAAGATTCAAGAGACCGCCCCACTGGCAAGCATCCTCTCCCCACACGCCCTCTCCTGCTGGCCACGCACGTCCAGGCTGGCCAAAGGAAGAGCCTGGAAGGTGGAATTCAGCAGGAGACCTTTGACCATGGAACGGGCACTCTGGCATTTTTTCACTCTGCTGCCACAAAGGGGACCCCTGAAAGTTGGTTAACCATTAAAACCCAAATGGACCTGGTGAAAAATAGCCCGTGGGGTTAAGTAGGTGGCTTTCCAGAGCAAGGGCATCCATGCTGGGCAGGGTGCAAACAGCAGCATTAGCCAGTAATGTCAGATGTGAAGCCAATGACATTTACTAAGTAAACACTTACTATGTCCTAGATAGGGTGCTAACCCGCTTATGGAAGGTAATCTGACAACTCAGACCTTTTAAAAATGATTTTCACGTCTGTTAACTCTGGAACCCCACCCCCAGAAAACATATCCTAAAGAAATAGTTCATTCAGTCAGGGAGCAAAGGAGTTGCGTGTATTAAAATGTTGGTTGGGGGCCCCTGGGTGTCTCAGTTGGTGAAGCATCTGCCTGAGTGTCTCAGGTCATGATCCCAGGGTCTGGGGATTGGATCCCTGTCCGGCTCCCTGCTCAGTGGGGAGTCTGCTTCTCCCTCTCTCTTTGCCCCTTGCCCTGCTCCTGCTCTCTCTCAAATAAAATCTTAAAAAATAAAAATAATAAATAAATAAAATATTGGATGGAATGTTATATAAATATAAACTGGAAACAACTCAGGAGGCCAACAGGGACACTTAGACATTACGGTGCACTTGTAAAACAGCACACTCCACCACCAGAGAAGTGCTCACTACAAAGACTACAGCCACATCATTTATGAAATTAGGTGGGTGGGGTAGGACAAGAAGCCCATATAGAGTGTGATTTGCAGACTGTGATGCGCCGGAGTGGGGGAGCTCACCCCCGGAGCTGGCAGGGAGGATGGAAAAGACAGGCCACGATAATGTGAGGATGGGAATTCTTTTTTTTCTTTCCTAACATTATTGTGTAAGTCAGACTTTTATTTGAGGGATAATTTTAGATTTACAGAAAAGCTGCAGGAGAGACAGGATGAGAGTTCCCACATACCCCACACACTGTGCTCATGAGGGGTAACATCTTACATTACTGCAAAACATTTGTCATGATGGAGAAGTCAACATCGAAACATTACCGTCAACTAGACTCCAGACCTCGTTCCGATTTCACCAGTTTTTCTGTTCCAGGATCCAATCCACAATACCACGTTCCATACAGTCTATTTTTGTGTTTGTTCTCTTTTTGCTTTTTACAATTCAATGGCTTTTCACATAGTCACAGATATGAGCAACCACCACCATAGTCAATTCAAGAATATGTTCATCCTCTCAGAAAGAAAGCCCATACCTGTTGGCAAACATCTCTTGATTGTGGGCTTGGAGGAACCCTTTTGCAAAACAGAGAACGCTGTGGTAAGGAGAGAACTCTCCCTCATCTCCATTTTCCCCTGATTTATCTCTCTGGAATTCAGATTTTCTTTTCTCAGCGTGACCCCCAAGCATTAGTCCCAAATGAACCACATTGGAAGTTTCCAACAGTACCAATTTTTATTACACCCAGGTCAGAAAAACACTTGGAAATTGAGAGCCCTCTAAGTAAAACTTTAGGAGCTCAGAGACAAAACCCCTCTTCCTACTAATCTAGCAAGAGAGAATGAGTGCTATTGAGCATCTACCATGTGCCAGGCACTGTACAGAGAGGCCATGCACGAAGTCTCCCACTGCATCCTCATGGCCAACATTGGAAGTCAACCATGATCATCCATGATCCAAGTAGGTAGTGGCCACCATTTTGGTCACCCTTCCAGCCCTCTTCTTCGTGAACCACTTGTCCCATCTCAAAGGTAAACCCCCAGCTGCCATGTTTCCATTATGTGGTGGTCAGGATGACAAACTTGGCTACCTGCCCCCAGCCCGCATCCTACAAACAACTCTGGTTAACATTGCACCAGTGGCTCTGAGATGTGGTCTAGAGATGTGACACAGCTTAAATCATAGGAGCCAACCCCAGCCTACTCTGTCCCTGGGGACGGCGACCCTTTGTGGGACGTGACCCACCCCAACCCAGAAAGAACACGAGGCCAATTACCTGCACAACCTCCTTCACCAGGGTCTTGTCCGTGCCAGTTTTGGCTCGCTGCAGCCCACTGACATTCTCGCCAATCCACGTGATGAGGGCAAACTTGGACCTCTTGCTCATGGCATCCCCGGTGGTGAAGCGTACGAAGGCAAACAACCGGATGTCATCTGTCGTCAACAGCAAAAAGAGGGCATGGTGCTCAGTTAAAACATCCCAAAACTTTGTTCCCAAGGAGGAGCCATGAGCCGGAATACACCCAGAGCAGCACGGCAGGAGCCCAACTCCCTCCTCTCCTGTATTCCACCAGAATGCTATGCTTTCCTTCGAGGAAATCATATGTCCTTACTCAGCTTAATTCCTAAATAGTTCATATTTTAATTGCAATTATTGGGGAGAGCTCCTTACCATCCCTAAGTGAAGACGGCCGCCCAGTAAGGCTGTGGGGTGCTCACCTTGTGCTAGCTGCTTGGCGCAGCTCTTCCATTCTCAAAGGGCTTTTGGCCACTGGCTTCAGGATTTCTCAGGTCCCCTGAGAGCTGTGCTGCTCAAATGTTCGCGTGTATCTGAATCACGGGGGGATCTGGCTAGTATGCAGATTCAGGGTGCGCAGATCCCAGATGGAGCCCTGAGGGCCTGCATTTCTAAGTGGCTCTCCTGTGAGGCTGATGCTGCAGGTCCCTCTGCCCGGCCCCAGCAACACTAATCTGTTTTGTGTCTCTGGATCTCCCTATTCTAGACATTTCACACAGATGGGAGAACACAATCTGTGGCCTTTTGTGACTGGCTTCTTTTGCTCGACACGCTGGCAAGGTTCAGCTACACGGCGGCATGATTGGCCCCTCATTCCCCTTCTGGCCAAATAATATTCTAGAGTCTGGATGGGCCACGCTCTGCTCATTCATTCACCTGCTGATGCACATTTGGGATGCTTCCAAGCTGGGGGTGACTTTCCACCTCCCTCATTGGTCGACCACAAGGGTGAAATGTGATGGCTGTGCGACCTTCCCGGCCTGCCACCGTGGGAACTTCTCCCCAAAGTCATGACCACAGGACGGAGCTGCCAGGTGGGCAGTGAGCACAGGAAACGAGGCGGCAGGTAGGAGGAACCGAATGTACACAGCCACGCCTGGCCGCTGCAGACAGCGTGGGGGGAGCCCGGCCTCGCGGCTGCACGCGGGAAGCCAGCGCGGCGGAAACCGAGAAGCCGCGGCAGGGTGTTTAATTAAATTGCTGCCTTGATGTGAGGGGGAGGCAGGGCCACACATCGGGTACCTCCCGACTTGTTCGTACCAAGGCGACACAAGCAAAAGCACAGCAGCCTGTTTCCATGGGAACCACTCCATTCCCCCCTCCTCACCTCGGTGGCTGGATGCTTGGGTCCCCGGGATGGGATGGCAGCTGGCTCCTGAGCACCCCATCACTGGCCTGAGCCTCCACGCAGGAAGGGTGCACACCGTGTGTCCCGAGTACCAGCCCAAGACCCAGCCCAAGGACCTTGACACACAATAAGTGAGTCACACACACACACACACACACACACCCAGGACATGGGGAACCTGGCCCTTAGGGACCTTCCAGAGCCGCAGGCCAATGTCATTTACATTATCATGGCAGGAGGGACTGTTTTCCTGGGTGGCAGCTGGGCGCTTATCTGGGCAACGGTTTGGCCAACTAGATTGCTGACGTTTTTGAAAACCCAAGAGTCACGTTATGCTTACAAATGTTTGTGGCTCCCGATTTGGCAGGCCACCAAGAAGTCAGCTGAGTCTGCCGGGGAAAGCCGGGCTGTGGGAGCGACATTTCGTAGCTGCCCACGCGGACCTGGAGCTTCTCCCCGCCACTCGCCGCGGAGGGGGCTCTTAGCCCATGGTGGCCTCACACCGGTTGGTGCAGGGTGGAGCTGGAGCTCGAAGTCATGAGTTGGGCCACCTTCCCTCTTTTGGACAAACGGGGGCTGACAAAACACACCTGTGCGGCCGCGGCACCACATCCCTCCCTCTTCTGCGGGCACTCGCTTCACGCACAGGAAGATGTGGGTGTGCCCACAGAAAGGCAGAGCGGAGCCTCACTGTACATGTATAACGTGTGTGTGTACGCATGTGTGCGCTTGCACATGTGTGCGTGCTTGTGTGTGCATGTGTGCCTGTGTGTGCACTTGCACACGTGGGGGGTGTGTGTGTATGCGTGCACTACAATGGAAACTGGCCAGGAGGACATGGGTACTTGACATTGCCATCATCCCCATGGTGCCACTTGGTCCCAAGGGCCAATGGCACATGTTTGCAGCCTGAGGCTCGGGAACTGAGGGTGAGGCTCTGGGGAAACCCGGTGGGGGAACCCGGGCCCAGACACCCCACAGCAGACAGACCCCTGAGCGCTCTGTCTCCTATAGAGGCCTCTGCACAGGTGGCCACACCGGCTGCTCCCTCAGCCGTACATCTTCAATCTTCTGCTCCACAGCATCCAAGTTAACAGTCTAAGGTCTAGAATCCACTAGAAGCCTTCCAGCTTCATGCCAGTTCTGTGGCCTGGACCAGGTGCACTCATGGCTCTACACCCCAGTGGCCCCATCTACACAGCCCTGAGGTGGCCGTGAGGATGACAGAAAACAGGCATGTGGTGGGGCTTGGCTCCCGGGGAGACTGCTCTTTCTGTCCCCACCTCTCTGGTAAAACTGCCCTGGGGACCCCAGTGCCACCCACCTGGCATACCCAACCACAGCCTCCCTGGCCTCCCTGCGTCTCCCTCTTGGCTGGCTTTCTGCGCTGACCACACTAACATTCACTCCTCGGCATTTCAAAGCAGGGCCGTTCCCAGACACACAGTCTTCCCGCCACTGCTTCCAGAGCATTGCTCGAGGACCTACTGTGTGCCAAGTGCAGTGCTAAGCACTGGGGCATGCAGATTAGACAAGCAAGGGTGCTAAGGATAACTGAAGCCGTTTACTGAGCACCTATGATATGCTGGGCACCACTCTATGTGCGTACACGTATTGGCACATTTCTTCATCCCAAGCTCTCTATGAGGTTGGTGCTGCTCCTAGGCCCATTTCACAGCCAAAGGAACTGAGGCTCGGAGAGCTAAAGGGGTAAGGCAGCCAGACAACACTTTCCCTGCCCGCTGGAGCACTGGGTGAATTGAGAGCCGTTCCCAGAGCCTGGGACCAGCAGCGTCAGCGTCCCCCAGGAAACCACGGGAATGTGGCTGCTTGGGATCCACCCCAGACCTGCTGATTCACAAGCTCTGGGAAGCCTCACCCCTGGGGGATTCGGGTGCCTCAAAAGCTTGAGAACCACCAGGGAGGCGGAGGGTGAAGGAGAGGAGAACTCGCACCCGCCTCAGCAGGAGAGGGGTAAGATGAAGGTCTCCAAGGCAGAAAAGCTGAAGTGCCGCAAGTTCAGCCCACCCCCTTCCTTCCCACCCATGCTTCTTTTATTTTGAGGAAGTGATCATGAAAAGGAGTTTCCTGTATGGCCTGGCTTCTCAAACATCAGAATTTACAGACTCAGAGGCATCCAGACATGACCCCTGAGAATCTCAGCACCAAAGACCATCAGGACTGTCCCCCAAAGACTCTCCCTCCGCCCAAATCCCAAGGCCCAAGGAAGAGGACAGAGCCACTGAGCCATTGCCCTGGGTAGCTGGGGTCCTTTCTGTCACCTCCAGATCAGCCATCAGACACAACGCATCACTGAAAAGGATTCCCAAATGCAGGATGAGATCACATAGGCCCCATCTCAGAGGAGACGTCAACCTGAGACAAAGCAAGGCCAGAGCCCCATCTGTGAGGACTGTCAGTGCCATTTCCCATTGCCTTCTGGACAGTGCATGAGCTCAGAGTCCAGGCCAACCACACACATCAGGCCTCGTCCCCAAGTTGGGGCTGTAAACACCTGCCCCTTCCCACCCAGCAAGAGTCTTAGTCATGAAAAGATGGCCCTCACATGGCATGAATACACCCCACTCTCAAAAGACCTTGACCCTCTAGGCAGTCTGTGAGGCCTTGTGGTGTGCAATAGCCCCCACAGCCCTACGGCCCGGCCAGTTCAGGACTGAGCACCAGGCAAGGTCTACCCAGTTCCATGTCCTATTTCTCTCTTCAAGGTCTTTGCCTTCATTTACTAAGCAAGTTAATACACAACATGAGCTGCCATTGCCAAGTCTGTGGGCGTGGCCCAGTGCAAAGGAAGCACCCAGAAAGTTACTGTGGTCACTTTGCACTGTTCCCTTCATAACCCCTCCCTGCCTTGGGCTCTCCTCTCACCCTGTACTCCACCCTGTGTTTCCCTCCTTTCTCTCCCATTGACCACCTGTACCCCTCACCACCTCCTCCTGAGCTCTGTCTAGGGCTGGCCTGGCAGGAGGGATTCAGAAGCAAGACAGGGAATGGCAGGAGGACCAGGAGTTGATGCTAAGCACTTAGGACAAGGCGGGTGTGGGGGAAACATGAAGAGAGGAGAGGACCACACAGGGCATGGGCACAGAGGAAGGAAAGAAGTCAGACTTCACTGGGATCCCCACGGCCACCAGAATGAGTCACTCCGTATTTTCCCAAAAACTGCGAATGGCACAGAATCTCCACCAAGTTCCCAAGGACTCTCCCGGCCCTCCCCACCAACTTGAAATCCCCCTCGGCTCAGGTAAACACCGAGGGGCAGATTCTGACCACCCTACCCAACATTCTCACCAGAGTGACCTCGACGCAAGGTCCACACTGACCAAGGGCCCCATCTTCTCCCAAAAGGGACCTTAGTCTTCCCATCCAACTCTCCCTGAAGCCAGCCCTGGCTGGAAAAGGACAAAATCCAGAGAAGACTCAATTCTTTATAAATGCTTCGAACAATTTTTTTTTTATCATTTCACACCAAAACACAATGTGAAGAATAATCAGAAGTATAAAGAAGCAAAAATGAGGGTCCCACCACCTAGTTAACCACCCAAGTACCCATTCTGCTGCATGTCCTATTGGTCTATTTAGCTACTTTCTCATTCATCTGGTCGTTGTTATATCCCACAGCACCAGGCCCATAGTAGGCACCACTACATATCTGCTGGCCAACACAGAGCCAGAGAGGGCATATCATTTCATAATTTCCCCCCAGTAGTGAACTTCAGAGCAAGAAAAAAGAAAGGAGAAGAAGAATCAGGGAGGAAATTGCCCCAGAGC